TTTAAATACCTTAGAAATTTGCGGTGGTCACTCTATTTTATATACTTCAATGAAAACCAGATAAAATTTACTAAAATCTAGTAGATACTGTTATATACACATGTATATTGAAATATTGAATAATTTGTAGTTGAAATGCCGACATTAGTAGAGTCCTTTTTCACATTGAGACTTGTAATCAGTTTTTCTTAATTGTTCGTCAGTAGAGTTTCTTTTTCACTTGTTTTGGCATTCGTACTTCTTTTTAGATTGCTCGTCAGTAGAGTCATTTTTTTACTTGTTTTAGTCTTTCTACAGTACTTTTTAGTTTGCTCATCAGTAGAGTCCCTTTTTCACTTATTTAAGTCTTTGTACTCTTTTTTAATTGGCTTGTCAGTAGAGTGCCCTTTTCACTGGTTTTTGTCTCCTTACTCATTGATTAGGTTGCTCGTCAGTAGAGTCTCTTTTAACTTGTTTTAGGCTTTGTACTCCTTTTTTTAGTTTGCTCGTCAGTAAAATCCCCTTTTCCAATTGTTTAAGACTTTGTACTCTTATTTTTAGTGTGCTCACCAGTAGAGTCCTTTGTGTACTTCTTTTAGTCTTCGTACTCTTTTTTTTAGTTTGCTCGTGAGGAGAGTCCCTTTCCCACCAGAGTTAATTGAAATTTTCAATGACTATATAAATCCAAAAGTCCGCACCACTTTGTTGCCGCCGTTATTGTAAAGAACTCGTATTGTAAAAACGGCGGAGACAAAGTTGTATACCTTAAAATTCATATTCAAGTTTAATAAAACTCGAGAACGGCTGAACCGATTTTGCTAATTTTGGTCTTGAAATATTCGTCGTGATACAGGGAAGTCTTTACACACGAGAAACTATTTAAAACTTGCTTGTAAAATGTATATTTCGCACACTGAAATAGGAAGAATGGGCAAAAATGGAACAGATCATTGTTACCAGTGAATAGGACATCAAAGTAAAATTTAGACTAAAACTTATTTTATTCACTAACTAGTTGCAAGTGGCATTTTGCCTTTAGGCAAGTTACATGATCGACTTGATAAATAAAAATTCAGATTTAGAAATTTGGATAAAATTTTCGATTTCAAAAGTTTTTGTTTGTACCTTGTTGATAAGAAGAATTGTCTAGTTTTAAGGAACTCTTAAAGTCATGCAGTTAGTAAAACATGAAATAAACTAACATTTAACTAAAACTTATTTTATATACTAAAAACTAATTAACAATGTTAAAAGACCCAACAATATCTTGAATTGAATTATACGATAGGTAAACCTTCTGGTGTGTTTGTATCAATAGCAAATGTTGGTCTAACTAATAATGTTAATAAAATTATTATATTTGAAAAGTAAAAATTTGGTATTTTATTGATTTTAAACTCTGTCAATGTTAAGACCACTGATATACCACAACCTTTTAAACAAATAATTTAAACAAATAAATAAGTAATTTTTGCTACTCAATAAAAATCGAATTTTAATAACCGAATTTTCATTCAGTATTTAGACGTCAGTTACTCTGTACACACTAAAATGCAACAAAATATTGTCAAAAATCATTAGTTTTGAATGTTCCAGTTATTAATAGCTTGGTTTATTACTGTGTAATGGTGTAGTATGTTTTTGTATAATTAATTTTTTTTTGTTCCACTGAATGACGGTCTCGACAAAGACCGAAACGTGTGGTTAAATTAAGCTTTTTTACAACTGCTTTAGTTTTTTTACTTGGTGTTACTCCAAAATAACTCACCAGTATATATATATATATATATATATATATATATATATACATGTACATTTTATCTACTTACAATGTTTTCCCGAACAGGACGACGCCAAATATCCTCCATCACATTGGCAAATGTTTGGCTTCAGGCACTTTCCGCTCGGACAATTTCGGCAAACGGCTGCAAAAAAGCAAAAAACAGGGTTATAATTTTGGTAATATTAGCAATTTTGGTAATCTTAACCTAAAACCCGGTAATTTGTTTAAATAAATTGTAGTGATTTTGGTAAATAAATATACGACAGAGATAATGGCAAAGATAAAGGATGATGATGAAGATAACAAAATGTAATGAGGAGGTGAAGGCGTGAGAATTCACATCTCGGTGAGAATTAGTTCAGGAAAACAGAACTAGGTGTAAGTGACATTATGTTTTAAGGTAAATTGCATAAAATAACCCTACATAAGTAGATATTAATGATAGATGGTTGTCTGCCCGAAGGCAGGTACATTGTTTGCTAAACATCGAAAAGACGTAAAATGAGCCAATCGGATTTTATGCCAAAAACATAAACTTTTACCTCAGAAAGTAAATAAATAGATCCTAAATAGATAGAAATGAACTTAGTTTTTCTAAAATTAGAAATTTCAGAAATCTAATATAATAAAAGCAAAAAACTCTACCGAAGAAAAAATTAAACATACTGAAAATAAACTCTACTGCAAAATAGAAAAGAAAGAAAGAGATTCAATTAACAAGCAAATTAAAAATAAAAGTTTAAAAAAATCAAATAAAAACAAGTAAAATAGGGACGCTACTGACGAGCAAACTGAAAAAACAGTACAGACTAAAACATGTTATGAAAGGGATTCTACTTACGAGAAAATTAAAAAAAAAGTAAAATGACCAAAACGAGTTAAAAAAGGACTCTACTGACGAGAAAACTGAAATAGGTAAAAAAGGAGACTCTACTGACGAGCAAACTAAAATAAAAGTACAAAGACAAACACATGGAAAACTTAAACAATTACTCTACTGACAAACAAAAGGAATAAAAAAATAACAAAATTAAAACATAAACGAAAAAAAATTCTACTAGCGAAAAAACTAAAAAAAATGAGAACAAAAATTAAACTAGTATTAAATAGACTCTATTGACTAAAAAAATGAGTACAAAGAGTAAAATAAGCAAAATGGGATGCTACTGACGAGCAAATTGAGATTTCTACTACAAAAGAGCAAGAAGACTAAAACGAGGAAAAAAGGACTCTACTGACGAGCAAATAATAAAAGAATACAAAAACTAAAACAAACTAGTGGTGCATGGCACAGTCCTTTAAGGCAATTTGCTAGAACTTCTCGTACCGGAAACTAAATTATTAAAAAAACCTTTGAAAAAATTAGATTTTTGAGAGATTTCGAAATTTTTGAAGCAATTGACATTTTTGAAAAATTTGATTTTTCTTATATTTGGATTTTCTTTTGTAATTTGATTTTTTTGAAAATTTTGATTTTTTTTTTCAAGAAATCGCGCTGTATAGCTGATTTGGAATCGAAAGCGCGTAAGCGCCGCTTTGTCGTGTAACGTGTAAACTTTGGTACGGAACTCATATAAATGTACACAAAATTTGTACTTATTATTATAATCTTTATAAAATATCCGATAATACGATGTACATATGTCTAATGTTTATTTTTGACCGCCAAATGACATTTTTTTCTTAGGTATGCCAAACTATTCAGAAACCTCTGAAACGTAAAGATGTATAGAAATATTCTTTTTCGATTTTTTTGCGATTACTATAACTTACCCTACGGGAAGTTAAAAATCCGATTTTGTTACAAAAAACGGCCCGGCCGATCTTTACCAAAAGCTAATCAGCACGATTCCCAACCAATATCTTTCAAACGGTTTTTGAATTTTCAAAATCAATTCAGAATTGCGGGCTAAAACGTGGACAAAAAAATTTTCACTTTTCTGCTATTTATAAAGAAACGGCTCGGCCGTTAATCGCACAAAACGGAGAAACGACAGTCCTCATCGAGATACATCGAATGACTTTTTAACACCGAAATCGGTCCAGCCGTTTTTTGAGAAAACCTCGATTTACGGCAAAAAATCTGTTCCCGCACAAGCACACGCACACACGCACATACTTATTCCAAATGTTGGTCTCATTCGATTCAGAATGTCTTGAAACGTCGAGAAAACATAAAATTAGGGAATCGGATTTTTTTATGAAAACATAAACTTCGCCTTCGGGAAGTTAAATAGTGGTGAAATAAGAACGTATCGATTACATAGAACAATTATAATATCAATATCGACGACAATCGATATTTTTCCATTGGAATTTCCATCCACGATATAAATATTTACCTTACCCAGAGGTCGTTTTTCTATAGGCGAGTCACGCGTATATACATGTATATATATATATATATATATATATATATATCGATATATATATCGATAGCACGGCAGTAGTAGCAGCAGGTTCTCTATTAATTATCGGTAATTCGATACTATCGACCTGCTTATTAAATCAAATCAAGTCAAATCATATCGAATCAGGTATCGACATGAAATACGAGTTTGCTCGTTTTAAATATCCCCCGATACGAATATTAAATTATTTATTAACGAGCCGTTCGTCTACGAGCACATGTCGACGTCGCCGTAATAAGAAAATAAGAAAAAAAAAAGAAACGCTCGGACGGATCGCGTTTCGTTTCGTTACGTAATTGGTAAATTGTTCTAGGGTCCGTAGGAAGGGTCCCTTTTCTAGTGGTAAGAGGATTCACATCCTCTTTTTACTTCAAATATTGTGGAGTTTCCTTCCTGCTTTTGCAGTAGAATACCACTTTCTCTTTCTTTACATTCTTAACTTCCCGTAGGGTGAGTTCTTGTAATCGTCCAAAAATCGAAATTGAAATTTTTTGCATTTCTCGACGTTTTGAATGTTTCTGAACATTTGGACATACCTAAGAAAAAATGAATGTGTGTGTGTGTGTGGATAAAATTTTTCGTCCACGTTTTCGGGCGCACGAATCAACCGATTTGAATGGTTTAAAAAACATTCGATTCCTACTCATAGGGAAAAGAGCTGATTATTTTTGGGCAAAGGCAGGTCCAGCCGTTTCGGAGATACGGAGCAAAGAATGCAGAAAATAGAAATCGACTTTTTGAGAGAACGGAGTATCCGATTTGAATGATCTAAAAAACATTCAATTAGTAATGATTGGGAGAAGTGTTTATTAGTTTTTGGAAAAGGCAGGCCCAGCCATTTTGAAGATACGGAGCTAAATATGTAAAAAATGGCGGTTTTTGAGAGAACTAAGCGTCCGATTTAAATGATTCAAATAACTTTCTGCTTGTCTTAACAAAATAATTGATTTTGGAAAAAAAAATTCCTTTTTTTTTTTTTTTTTTTTATTTTTTGTATATCGAAAATAATTCAGATTTTATTTTTAATTCTGACTAAATTTCTAATATACTTTAAACAAATAATTTTAACCTTGCAATTCAGTTTATATAATTCTTATAAATATTAGACAATGTTACAATATTTATAATAATCTATTTGAAAACATTCAGTATTCCTCGAACATTTCGTTACGGTACGGGAAGTTCCAGCAATTTGCCTTAAGGCACGATGCCATAATTGCCTCAAGACAGAATTCCACTTACAGCTAGTTTTTTTTTATTTCGCTCGGTCAAATTATTAGGAAGTTGAAAAGTATAAAACTTTGCAATAAAAGTTAAGAAAGTATAAGATAGCTCAAAAAGTATAAAAAATAACTTAAACTAAAGTATAATAAAGCATAAAAAATGAAATTGAATGTAATATGATTTAATAATAGCATAAAAAATAAAATTGCATATAAAGAAATTTGATTCCTGAAAAGTGTAAAAAGGTTGAAAAGTATAAAAATGGGTAATGAATCTTAAGAAAGTATAAGAAAACATAAAAAGTTCAAAAATCAAAAACAAATGTAACTACAAATTACAAAACTGATTATTACGAATCAAGAAAAATTATAGCAAAGTTGAAAAAATAATAAAAAAAAAACAAAATAAAAGAAAGCATCAGGAAGTATAAGAAGAAATAAAAAAATATAAAAAGTGAATAATGTATAAAAAAGCTTAATAAAAAACATTACAAATTATAAGAAGGTAGATTAAATAAAATGTATGATTAAGAATTGAAAAAAATGTACGAAAAAATATAAAGTTCAATAAAAAATGAAAGAGGATAATAAGTATAAAAAGCATAATACTAAACATCCTAAGTTATAATAGAATATAATAAGCAATTATCATTTCTAACGGAAAAGGAAAATAAAATAAAAATCTAAAAAAAGTGTACAAAAGAATAGAAAAGATTTAGGAAGTATAAAAAGTTTAGGAAGTATAAAAAAGTATAAGAAGGCATGATACTGAGCACCACAAAATATAACAAATTATTATAAATAAAATAATGATAGCGTGACGATAAAAAGTGTAAAAAATTCAAAAAAGTACACAAAGGTATAAAAAAAATAAGAAAGTATAAAAAAGTATACTCACGAACAAGACAAAATCCTGTATGAGCCTGAATTGACCATCCTGGACAACAGTAAGTCCTGTACCTCGTCCTGCACACATTCGGCCTGTAAAAAAAAATAAAAAAATTATTCTAAACATCTTAATAAAAATTAATTCTAATCTAAATTAAATTACAATTTTTGGTGACCCTAATAAAAGTACTATAAGGTGACCCTATTTTTTTATCATTTTATAATTTAATTCGTTCTCCAGCTGCCGGAAAATAGTTCGAGATAAATATTGAAGTTAAACTTCTTGAGAGTCAATATTTGTACAAGTCAACGGTGTGTGTGTTTTGTTCGTGAAGAAGAGATTGTGAATAATTAATGAAGTTAATAGAAACGCTTTTGGTGCAGGAGTATGTTTAGAATGGATTAATGAGTGTTTAGAATGGACCTAGAGTTCTAAATTTTCTGTTGTGGTTTGAGGAGATATGTAGGTACAATTTGCAACCTAAATTTGTTCATAATTTTTTACAAATTTGCAAAATTTTGTGAACAAACGTAAGGTTTATAAATATAGATCATAAGTGTATTAAAAGGTGCAGGAATATGTTCAGGAAGGATTAATGAGTATGCAAAATGGATCTAGAGGTACAAATTTGCAATCTAGAGGTAGATACTATTTGCAATACAAGTTTGTTCATAAATTTTTACAAATTTGCAAAAATGTGAATAATGAGTATTAAAAAATAGCTAGAGATTCAAATTTTTGTTGTAGTTTAGGAATATATGTAGCTACAATCTGGTACTATGTTTTAGTTCATAAGATTTACATATACCGGCCAAAATTGTGAACAAATATGAAAACATGATGAGGATAAAAATTTATTCTATGTACTTTTTGTTTGGTTCATAAATCCTAAACTATTCGCTCAATATACATGTAGTGTTAGACAAATTTGTTCAGAATTAAATAAACAATTGTTGTATACCAAAAAAGCAACTCAGGATAGCCTAAAATTCCAATGCAATGAATAAATCTCCAGCCTAACGAGTTATACATTTGTAAATGCATCGCTTCAATATATCTTTCATAACTTCTAAAGCATTCGATTAATATGAATGATGTGTTTAGAAAAAATGATTAGAATTAAACAAGAAACAAAATTGTTTAACACCAATAGCCTATACAACAATTTGAAATACTCTAAAAAAGCATTAAAACCTGTTAAGCAAATTTGCTTGTGTTTAAAAAATAAATTTTCACAAAGTGACCCCTATTTTTGAATCTATTTTACTCCTGAACTAAACAAGATATTAAAACAATTCGAAAAGTATTTTATTCAAAATAATTTAGTCTATAATATCTAATCATATTTGCCTCAAAAAAATTTCCCACAATAATCACGGAAAAAATAATACAAAACTATAAACAATTTGTTAAAAAATATGTATTCACAAAGTGACCCCTATTTTTGAAACTATTTTACTCCTGAACTAAACAAGATATTGAAACAATCCAAAAAGTATATCATTCAGAATACTTTAATCTATAATAACTATGTATGTTTGATTCAAAAAAGTATCACAAAATGATCAGGGTAAAAATAATAAAAGCTATAAACAATTTGTTAAAAAAATATATTTTCACAATGTGACCCCTATTTTTAAAACCGTTTTACTCCTGAATTAAACAAGATAATATAATAATCCAAAAAGTGTTACATTCAGTACACTTTAAGCTAAAATATTTACATATATTTGGTTCAAAAATTCTCACAATAATCATTGTAAAAATAATAAAAAACTGTAAACATTTCGTTAAAAAATTAATTTTCACAAAATGACCCCTATTTTTGAATCTATTTCACTCCAAAACTAAACAAGATATTAATCCAATCCAAAAAGTATTTAATTCAGAACACTTTCATCTATAATATCTAATCATATTTGATACAAAAAGTATCACCCAATAATCAGGGTAAATATAATACAAAACTATAAACATTTTGTTAAGAAAAATATTTTCACAAAGTGACCCCTATTTTTGAAACCATTTTTTTCCTAAACTAAACAAGATATTCAAACAATCTAAAAAGTATTTTATTCAGAACATTTTAAGCCATGATATCTACTTGTACTTGTCTCAAAAAAATTTCCCCAATAATCATGAAAAAAATATTAAAAACCTTCTTAACATTTTGTTAAGAAAAATATTTTTTTGTAAAGTGACCCCTATTTTTGAAACCATTTTACTCCAGAATTAAACAAGATATGAAAACAATTCAAAAAGTATTTTATTTAAGACACTTTACATTATTATATATGTATATGTTAATTTCAAAATGTATTTTGCAACACAAGAAAAAAATAATCAAAAAAATTGTAACCCAAACAAGTTTTTTTGTCCTATGACCCCTATTTTTGAACCCATTTTACTCCCAAACCGCGCCATATATTGCAACAAACTAAAAACTATTTTACTAAGACTCAATTACTCTATAATGCTCACTACAATTATTACAGACCAATTACTAATTAGTATTTTAAAAAACACAAAACTAATCTCTCGTCTCTCTGTACTAATATTGACCCTGCACTACGCTTTCGTTTACCGAGTTGAAGTTTTGTGTTTGTTCCGTTTTTACAAGAAATTTCTTGGATAAATATTTAATTTTGTATAAAGTGAAGGGACAGGTGACAGAAGGGACTGTGATAAGACTGATAACAGGTGTCAGGATTTAGGAAAATTTAAGATTTATAAGAAATTAGGAAACGACCTGGAATCCAGACTTAAACTTGAGTGAGAGATGCTTAATTTTATGAAAATATTTTTGTGGCCTTAATGCTGTTTATCCGCCAGTTGAAAGTGTTGAAACTTGAAACTAATACACTAAACTAATATATAAAATATAATTTTATTACCATTAATATAAATTAATACTTCCAAACCATTTTGCAATCTACCAATAAGTCCCACTAAAACTTTCCACCAAACATGAATAATAAATTCCTTTATAATTCTTTCGTTGTAATATTTATTTTATTTCTATTTCTAAAAAGATTTTAAGAAATATTTATATTATATAATAAAATAAATGTCTGTGTGTCTTTTACAAAAGAGGCAAGGCCATTTTTTTGTACAAACAACATTGTATTTCAATTTAAAATTGTGATAATGTAAATTTAACGACATGATACATAGAACGATTCATTGTGGAAGGAAATAGTGGGAGAGCTTGGTGTAAATTTGTAAGGAGGAAATGATACATGAGAAATATATACATGCAAATTTATTAAATTTAAAATGTGCTGAATACAATACTTTTCGAATTATTCAAATATTTTGTTCAGTTTAGGAGTAAAATGGATTCAAAAATAGGGGTCACTTTAGGAAATAACATTTGGTTTATGTTTTTATATTATTTTTACTCCGATTGTTGCGTGATACATTTTGAAACCAAAGTATACATTTTGCATAATTTAAAATGTCCTTAATGAAATACTTTTTGAATTTTTTGAATATCTTGTTTAGTTTAGTAGTAAAATGCACTCAAAAATAGGGGTCACTTTACGAAATTGCATTTTAGCTTTGCATTTTAGTTTTTTATTATTTTCACTCTGGTTGTTGTTCAATTTATTTTGAAACCAAAATATACATATACATAATTTAAAATGTCCTTAATAAAACACTTTTTAAATTTTTTGAATATCTTGTTTAGTTCAGGAGAAAAATTGATTCAAAAATAGGGGTCACTTTACTAAATAATATTTGTATTAATGGTTTTTATTATTTTTACCCTAATTATTTTGGGATATAATTTGAAATCCGAATATACATATTTGATAATGTAAATCGCCCTGAATGAAATACTTTTTGAATTGTATTAATACTTTGTTTAGTTCAGGAGTTAAATCGATTCAAAAATAGGGGTCACTTTACTAAATAATATTTGCATTATATTTTTTTATTATTTTTATTATTTAGTTTAGGAGTTAAATGGATTCAAAAATAGGGGTGACATTACAAAATACTATTTGCATTATAGTTTTTTTTATTATTTTTGCCCTAATTATTTTGGGATATATTTTGAAATCAAAATATACATATTTTATAATATAAAGTGCCCTGAAGTGCACTTTTTGAATTGTTTTAATACTTTGTTTATTTCAGGAGTTAAATGGATTCAAAAATAGGGGTCACTTTACTAAATAATATTTGTATTATAGTTTTTTATTATTTTTACCCTAATTATTCTGGAATAAATTTTGAAATCAGGATATACATATTTATTAATTTAAAGTGTCTCAAATAAATACTTTTTGAATTGTTTTAATATCTTGTTTAGTTCAGGAGTTAAATGGGTTCAAAAATAGGGGTCACTTTACTAAATAATATTTGTATTATAGGTTTTTATTATTGTTACCCTAATTATTTTGGGATATATTTTGAAATCAGAATATACATATTTGATAATGTAAAGTGCCCTGAATGAAACACTTTTTGAATTGTTTAAATACTTTGTTTAGTTCAGATGTAATATGGATTCAAAAATAGGGGTCACTTTAGAAAATAAAATTTGTGTTATAGTTTTTCATTATTTTTACTCTGAATGTTGCGTAATACATTATAAAACCAAAATATACATTTTGCATAATTTAAAATGTCCTTAATAAAACACTTTCTAAATTTTTTGAATATCTTGTTTAGTTCAGGAGAAAAATCGATTCAAAAATAGGGGTCACTTTACAAAATAAAATTTGCATTATAGTTTTTTGTTATTTTTACCCTAATTATTCTGGAATATATTTTGAAATCAGAATATACATATTTGATAACGTAAAGTGTCCTAAATAAAATATTTTTTGAATCGTTTAAAAATTTTGTTGAGTAATATAGATTCAAAAATAGGGGTCACTTTACTAAATAATATTTGCATTATAGTCTTTTATTATTTTTACTCTAGTTGATGTTTAATTTATTTTAAAACCAAAATATACATATTTGATAATGTACAAATTTGGTAATGTGCCCTAAATAAAACACTTTTTAAATTGTTTAAATACCTTGTTTAGCTCAGAAGTAAAAATGAATTCTAAATGAATTCTAAATAATATTTGTA